ATGGGAATGGCTAAGCGGATTGGAGGCAAAGAGCACTCCTTCTCCTCCAGGGGCCAATCCGCTGGGCGCTTTGAAGTGGCTGAGCGCCTTCAGTTTGGGAAGTTCTCTACCCTGAATCCGCTGAGCGCTTTAGAATGGCTGAGCCATTCTTCTCCATGTTTCAAAACCTACAAAATAAGCACCAAGTTGGATCAAAGGCTTCCTATTCCCTGTACTAACATTAATCAAAAGCACATCTTTGATTCTAAGCATATATAGATCAATAATATCAATATGTACACAAAATGTGCTAGATAAGTGTCTCAAGTGAGTATTAAATCAAACTAATTAGACACTTATCACTTGCCACACAGATTCTTCACAAAGAAAATTACCTCCCCCAGTTTTCTTCGCAATGTGGGAGAATGAATGATTATTAGAAAGGAACTTGGGAGAGAATGGTGAGAAAAAATAAAAAATGAAATGTCATCTTAATAGAAATGTAACAGATGATACAACAAAAGAAAATGAAAGGCAGCTAAACAAAACATAAGAGAAAAGAAGCAATTATAATAATTTAGGTTTTTAAAGGAGGTTCAATTTCTAAAAGGTGCTTGGTTAGGTTTTTTTTAATAGGTTTAGACTTTTTAATTTAATGCAACTTAAATTACTAAATTACCCTTATTTTATGCGATCTTTTAAGATGGGAAAATTTTTCCCGACGCATCTAACTTTACTTAATAAAGGATCGATTTATTTATTTATTGTTGATAAATAATACAATGACTTTTGTATTATTAAACATATATATTATGAATTTGTATTTTATCATTTACAATGCACATACTAAATATTTATTATATTTAATTAAAACTTATAATAAATTATATATATAAATAAATAATATATTTGAATACTAAATTATATTTTTATATAAATAATTTTTTAAAATATTTAAATTATATTTTAAATTTATGATAAATAATTTATATTGTAACATGATATTACTTTTAATTATTGATAATATTTTAAAAATATTAAAAATTAAGTTATAAATAAATATGATAAATAAAAATTAAATTAAATAAAAAAATTATAAAAATTATTAAAAATACTATAGCATAATATAGTCATTTTTATTTAATATATAGAAGTAGATTTATCATTCAAACTTTGATTGTAAAGTTTTTTTTTTACTGAGATTGTAAAGTTCCTATAAAGATATTTTATGAAATTTTATTGAAAATAGTTAAACCAAAAACATTTTCTAAATTTCAAAATAAAAAATGAAAATTATTTTCTGAAAATGGAAATAGAAAATATTTTCTGAAACCAAATAAATCTTTTAAAAAAAATCACAATTTTGTTTCTTTCCCTTATTATTTCTTTTCCAATAGCAATTAAAATCAAGATGACCCTAAGTAACTCAAATCGTGATGTAACTCAAAATAACCTACAACACAGTGTTGTGCAATTAGCAGAACTCACATAAGGATAACAAATTTAAATAGAGTATTTCAAATTGGTTGGATATGATTACATATGCTTAACAAGTTTTGTTGAAAAGTGAAGGAAAAAAGTTAAAAGAGAAATTTTAACAACACATTCACTTTATTGATTATAATTTATTGAAAACTACATAATTAGGGGAGGAAGAGAGAGAGTCAATAAATAAAATATGCACCCACCAAATTATATATTTTTTAATAAAATTTAACCAATTAAATAAAGAGTATTTAAAAAAAATGTACTAAAAAATGTGTTGTTAATATTTTTGAAAGAGATAAAGACATGAAGAGTGTCACCAACAAACAAAGAAATTAAAAAGTTAGAAAAGAAAAAGAGATGAAGGTGCTTGAAAAAAAAATGAGAAAGATGGTGCAAAAGGGGGAAAAAAATCTCACTATAAAGGAAAAAAAAGAAAAAATCACTCTCCTAGTTACATGAAGGAGGAAACAGAAGCTACGGGTGATGATCATTCTCTACTACGTAGAAGTGTTTACGGATACAAGTAACTCATTCACATGAACTGATCTAATTATTTTGGTTTGATTTTTCTTTTTAATATTTTAGTCAAACTCAACCCAACTTCGTTTAAGTACGAATTAAGTCAAAAATTTTGATTTTTAAACCCGTGAAGAATCTATTAATAGATAAATAACTGAAATTTATTATTATTATTTTTTATATTTTTCATATTAAATAAATACAAAAAAAGTCTTGGACGTTAGTAACTCTTATAGACAATAAATCAATTACTCTTATGGTGTGTTTGGATGAGGAATTTATATAGGGTAATTCATTTATTTGAAGAATTTCAAATTCCTTGAGGTGAAATGCTTTGTTTGGATGATGAATTTACAAAGAATTTGAAATTCAAGCATTTGTCAAATTCCTTAAAATAGTAGAATTTCAAATTTTCCAAAAAATGGGAGAATTTGAAATTCCTCATATTTGTTTTTCTTATTTCACTTATATATTTTATCTTATCTCTTCATTCTTTTAATTATTTTGGATATTCAAAAATATTTTTAAAATTGTTAAACATTATCTAATATTAATTTTTAAAATTATTAAATATTTAAAAATGGATTAATATTTATTTTTATAAAATTTAATTTAAAAATCTCAACATATAAATATATTTTTAAAATCAATTTTACTATGATGGAATAAAATTATCATATTCAACCTAACAATTTAAAATTTAAGAAATTTAAATTGACTCATCCAAACAAAATATTTTAAGAATGATAGAAATTGAAATCAAAGTAATTCAAATACCAAGAATTTAAAATTTCTTGAATTTGTAAAATTTCTCATCCAAACACACTATTATAGTTTCTGCAATGTTTCTTAGTCACTAATATGATTTCCTCATGTAACCAAATTATATCTAAATTAGTTTGATTATGCATACTAATCGAATTAATGTTTTTTTTCATAACACGCTTGCACGGGTTACCATATATTTTTACGATGTTTAAACTCTAACCTTCATACCATGCTTTACCAAAACGATATAGATAGTAAAATTAAGGCTTAATTGCATTTTTGATTCATCAAGTATTGCAATTGTGCAATTTTGATCCTCAAGATTTAAATTGAGTAATTTTAGTCATTAAAAGATTGCAATAGTGCGATTTTAGTCTCTTAATTTTTAATTGAACAATTTAAATCTTTCAAATATCATAATTGTGTAATTTTATTCTTTCTCATTAAAAATTTAATAATTTTAAAATTTTAATATATATATATATATAATATTTTAAAATTATATAATTGTTTATTTATTTAAGTTAACGTATATTATAATTTTTATTAATATTTTAAATGATATATATTTATTATTACTAAATAAATAAAATTTATATATTATTAATGTTTTAATATTATTGATAAATTAATATCAATAATAGTTTTAGTATATTTATAGATAAACTAATAATTTGATAAATATAACTTAGTACATATTAATATACTTTTGCAAAAATATAAATATATTAGATAAGATGTGTATATTTTTAATTAATATACTTGCATTTTTGTAAAAATATATTAATATATAAATATTTATCAAGTTATTAGTTTATCTATAAATATAATAATAATATTATTGATATTAATTTATCAGTATTATTATAAAAATAATAATATATAGATTTTATTTATTTAATAGTAATAAATATATATCATTTAATACATTAACGAAAATTATAATATACATTAACTTGAATAGACAAATAATTGTATAATTTTAAATTATTGTATGTATATATATATATATATATATATTAAAATTATTAAATTTTTAATGGAAGAGACTAAAATAACACAATTGTAATATTTGAGGAACTGAAATTGTTCAATTAAAAATTGAAGGACCAAAATTGCATAATTACAATCCTCAAGGATTAAAATTATCTGATTAAAACTTTGGAGACCAAAATTACACAATTGCAGTACTTGAAAGATTAAAAACACAATTAAGCTTAAAATTAACATCATTGCACATGTATATAATCAAGTGAGTCTAAATAAGAAATTTGGAGGGAATGCTAATGAATAATTACAACTTTAATACGGCATATAATCTAGGAATTTAGTTCAATTAAATGAGCAGGTAAGTGCATGTTTATTTTATCATTTGAAAAAGTCAAACGTACATTCAACTCAATCCACTCACTCATGCTTTTCCGTTTGAGTGCATGAAAATGTAATCCACTCACTCATGCTTTTCCGTTTGAGTGCATGAAAATGTATGTAGATGAGTATTCAAACACACCCTAAGTGAGTTATTTAAACTCTTTTAACACTGAATTTGATTCTCTCATATTAACAAAATACAGCATAAAATATCAAATTTAGCACAACGTCACAAACTTCGCATGTGTTCTAAACTATATAAGCCAGACAGTTAACTTTTTTCTTGTCACCAGGTATTCTCAGTAGTACACATCAAAATAGATTATAAAATAATGAGTTGAATACTTTCTTTTTAGTTTAACCTTGTACAAATGGTTTACAATCTCAAATATTTTCAACATTATCCGCAAATATGAATTCAACCACTCAATTACATCATTTATGGTTTGAAAAGAAACTATAAACTAATGTATTTTCAGTTAGGTTTAAAAGTTTATATTTTAAATAATAAATATTTTATTTTATTAGACAAAAATAGATAAAAAAAATTAAATTTTAAAATTGAAAACAACTTATTCAAATTAAAAACACATTAATGTCTTAAAATTCAAAATTTAAAAATCAAAATCATATTCAAATTGGCTAAGATTAAAAATTACTACAGTACAGTTTATGAAAGAAAATATATTTTCAATTTAATATAATATAACAAACTTAAAATTTAAATTAAATTAAAGTAATAATGTATAAAAAAAATTAATTAAAATTATAAATAAAGAGTTATATATTTCACATGAGTTGATGAAAATAAAAATCCTAAAAATACCTTATCGAAAACTGAAAGATGCACATAAACGGTAACAAACAGGCATCAGTGAAAGATGTATGAACAGGCAGCAGTAATTGTTCACACTGAATCACATTATGATATAAAGAGGCACATAAACTGCATACCAATAATATACGGAAATCAGCACAATAACAAGTGTCACTTGTATGTTATGTAATAGATAAACACTTATTCTATTGAAAAATGCTGGTTGCCTGGTATCAGTAAATGCACTACACACCATTCACACTCTAGACAACACCCGTATGTAAAAACATACGAGCACAATCCAAACCACTCAAATAGAAGTGCCAACAGTCCTCTCAACTTGATGCATCTTCTAAGCCACTTGTACTCCTGCATTTAGCATAATCGTTCAGATGTATGAAGATTCAGTAACAATATTTCATTATTTGGGAAAAGAAAAAAAGAAATGGGAAGAAATGATTTTGTCAAATTTTCAGGCACGTTGTCATCTAAAAAGTATGTCAACTATTTATTATTCGATATAACATGGATCAAAGACGTCAAACCATAGACACATATATAACATCATAGGATAGACTCTTCAGACAAATATTAGTCTTGAATTATTATCCCTTTAGATACAAACTTCTTTATTGTTGGATAATAATGTTTTTGAATTATTAGGCCTTTATATGGCATCTTGAAAACGAATAAACATGATAGACATTTGCTAAGAATCTAATTTATGCTATGGATAGAAAACTTACAATAGGGTACGATCTTCCACAGCTGGTTATCACCTTTGTTCCACTCCCAGAGGACTATTGAAGTGCCATCATGCACACCTCCAGAATTCTTGTCACCATGAAAAGCATCCACATTAAGACGAATATTATTGACCATTCTTATAGTTCTGTGCCCATCACCCAAGTCCCGGCTCTCAGTCCACAGAATAGACTCATCAAGATAATCTGATTTGTAAGGTATCAGCCGAACCTACATCGATATCATAAAAAAATTCTCATGTAAATAACAAATTACCAAAGACAAGACAATGTTATATAAAATTGTATTTTTGTCCCAACCAAAAGGATATTTCCCCTTCTAGCAAACACTTCCCATTATCAAGTTTCCATCAATGAAGCAAATTATGGGAAGAACGACAAGCAAAAAAGTAATGACATGTGAACTCAACCATAAAATTCCAGAATCTATAGTAATATGCATAGCACATTATTGAAAGATCAAATTGACAAACAAAGAAAGATATATTCACACATTGTTTTTGTTATATAATAGCTTAAAGGTCAGGGATCATGTTGATGTTGACCTCAATCCAAGGTCCTGACATGCCACATGCCACATGCCACATGCCACATGCCAAAGAAAGCACTAACAATAATAATAATACTTGAGATGACTTGCCAAAGAAAGTAAATTAATAAAAAAAATGATCCCAAGATCATTTTACCGTTGCTCTTGATTACACTTTCATTATTATTGACTTTTAAGTTTGAACCCATTTTTTTTATTCACGTCAACCATGACGGTGGAAAGGAGAAGATAAACCAATAAAAGGTTATCCCAAGAGGCTACCGGTATCCCAATGCAACAAAAAGCTTGATAATTTGCAGATCAAAACAACACAACAAAGGCAACTTTATCTAAAAAGCATAAAGCAAGTCATTATAAAACTATTGATATGGGCCCTCATGCATCATTTGATTTTAGAGATATTATTATCATCATCATATACCCACTTTCTCTTCCATCTCAATTTTACACCATATTTCTTTCTATCACTTCTTATTTCGCATTACATCATTGAACACATCCATCACTTATTTTTCTTTCTATCCGTCTCTACCTTTCCCAATACACTCCATTCTTGGGGTGCACATTAGCCATTTTTCTTTATTTTATTTGGAACAGAAAAGATAGCAAAGCCATCATGCTTATGAACAGAACATCAATATTACAGATTGGCATCCACTTGCTGCAACAGACATCACCTAGTCAGTAATTTAACACATTCAAGCATTCAGCTAATTGTAACCCGCTAGATGAAAATCAGACAGATCATCTTTTATCTCGTAAGTCAAACTTAAAATTTGCATTTGAAATATAAACCGCCTGATCTTCATCCAACTGTGCGCGTGTGCACTAATCCAAGACATTCCAAATCAACTTTTTCTATAAGTAAAAATTACAATAAAAAGGCAACAGCATTCGAACTTAGGACTTCATCACTAGGCCGACCTTGGGGATTATTACATTCCAATTCAAATGGGAACTGGGAAATATCCAAACACGTCCTTCCAATGCCACCCCATACACAAAGTTGAATCACGAACACTAAAACGTAACACGGCAATATTGTTGATCACCCATTAGGATCATTCAAACAACACACAATTCTGAGGAACAAAAATTCTCATCCCAGAATCCTAATTGAAAAACCAGCATAGCAAGCACGATCATATATATATATATATATATATATAAAAGAGAATCACTTAGCATTTTGCAATCAATAAGTAAAAGTGGAGAAAGCGATCTTACAGGACGAGTGGCTCCGATGGAGTGCTTCAAGGCCTCACCAGTTGCCTTGTTGATCAAAGAGAAAGCAGGGCAGCCCTCTTCATCCTTCACCCTCGTGCTGTACTTCTCATCCTTATACCAATGCTGCATTCAATAAATTAAATAAAATAAATTCTTAAGAATATAGTCCAAGTTTAACTCAACCTCACATATTTTAAGGGATTACATATCTAATAGCCATATCTATTTCAAAGTTAAGCGAGATCTCGGACATAAATAAAATCATTACAAAGAAATAAAAAAAAAATGACATGATATGACATGAGATGATGTTACCTGGTAGTGGTTGGTGGGATCGGAGGGTGCGAGGATGACTTCGCCACGACGAATGGTGAGAGAGAAATTGGGCGCTGCTTTGGTGAAAACCCTGACGGTGGGTTTGGCGGAGACGGCGGTGTTCACCTCGTGGCTGACGTGGTGAACGGTGGCGGCGGGAGCGTTGTGAGAAGAGACAGGGAAATGGGGGGTGTGGTGGTGGCTCTCGTGGGACACGTGGCGCACGGAGGTGCCGTAGGGGGAGTAATCAGGTGCAGCGGGAGCAGGGGCGTAACCGTGGCCGAAGGAGTGATCGGGTTCGTGATGGTGAGGCGGAGGAGGCCCCGGAGGAGGGGGAGCGGAGTAATTGAAGTCCGACGACACGTGAGAGGTATGGAACACGTGAGTCTCCGGCGGGGGGGCGCCGAAGAAGGGTGGCTGAGGCTGAGGAGGGTCGATGAAGGAGTTTCCCGGGGGAGGGTAAACGGAGGGTCGTTCGTCGTCGTCGTCGCGGCGGTGGTGGTGGCTGTGGTGGTGGTGGTTGAAGGGAAACGACATGGTGGATTGGGAAGTGTGCTTAGTGGTTAAGCTAGAGTTTACTTTGGATTTTATGATCGATGTTGAAATAAATAAGAGAAGGTGGGCCTACAATACAAGTCTACGCAACTACTAGTACTAGCCCTCAATCTGAAATTGAAAATATAAAAAAAAAGGAAAATCAATGGCTTTTTCGCTTCCATTCACACGTGGCGGGGCTTCCCTTCTTTGGAGCGCTTTTCTTTCCTCACACTCTCCACTCTCCACTAATTGCGTCGTCATCACAATCAAATAAGACTAACGTGGCAATGTTAAACTAGGGAATAAGTACTACTTTGATTTTTTTCTTTGTTTTTGGAGAATGAGAAATAGGAACACTTTTTTCATTTTATATTTTATTTAATAAAAATATTTAATATTTATCAGATTTTAATTTTTTTTATTAATATTTTTTATCATTTAAAAATAAAATTATCAAAAAAAATATATACACCCGTGCTTTTATATATATTATAAATTTATATTTATAATAAAAAAATTAGTTTTGGTGTATATATATTTTTTGTTTAGTTTCATTTTTTATAATTATAAAAAAATTTATAAATTTTACTCCATAATAATTTATATTTTAAATAATTATTTATTATTATATATTTTTATTATTGATTATTTTTTAAATACGGATATACGGATTATCTTTTATACGCAAATGTAATAAAAAAATTAATAATTTTGATTAAATTTTCTTAAAGATACTTATTAGAGATTTAAAAAGTAGTAAACAAATTATGTTTATTTGTAATTATGAATATTACTTTTAGAAAAAGTTAACGGATTTTATAAAATTATTAAAATAACTTTCAATTCTAATTAAATTTTATATTATTTTAAACTTTTAATTATTTTGGGGTAAAAAGGAAATGACACCCTCATAATTATTGTCAAAGTTACACTAAGTGTTTGGTTTGATATAAAACTTTACTTGTTAAACTAGGACCAACACAAAGTCTCATTAGAAGACTTAATTTTTGTCTCTAGCACGAGAGGTCTTCCTTGAGGAGCTATGCTCATCAAGTAGGATTTTATGGTCTTGGGAGTGTCTAATCTATGTCATAGGAGATGCAAACTTGAATTAGATTTCTAACCATTTGTGCCAACCAACTTAGCTTATTTGTAATTCTGAATATTATTTTTACAAAAGTTAACGAATTTTATAGAATTATTAAAATAACTTTCAATTTAAATTAAATTTTATATTATTTTCAACTTTTAATTATTTGGGGTAAAAATGATGTAACACCCTCGTGACTATTGCCAAAGAGTCAATCCACAAATCAAACACTATTATTCACTTTTGTGCATAATCAGAGTTATAGTAAGTGTTCAGCTTAACCTAAAACTTTACTTGTCGAACTAGGACTAACACAAAGTCCCATCAGAGGACTTAGTTTTGCCTCTAGTGCAAAAGATCTTCCTTGAGGAGGTATGCTCATTAAGTAGGATTTTAATGGTCTTGGGAGTGTCTAATCTATGCCATGGGAGATGCAAACTTGAACTAGATCCTTAACCATTTGTGCCAACCAACCTAACTTATTTTAAAATGTTTAAACATATGATTTTAAAAAGAAAAGAAAAAAATCTAGACAAGTGAAATCTAAATTGATAGATATACAACTTTTTTTAATACCAAGAAAGTTGGTAATTGTATTTGTAGCAACCAAGTCACTATAGGACAACAAAAACTCAAAACAATACATTTTGAAAATAAGTAGAGTTGCAACCAATATTTTTATTTGAAAAATATTGGAAAACACATTTTAAAATGAGAATGATCTATGAAAACAAAATTTAGGTTCAGGAGTTGACTATGTGTAGGGTCAATGGAACCGCCACCAATATTTTATTTAAGGAAAAAACATTGGAAAACCCTTTTCAAAAATAATCTTTAAAGTAAAAGTTGGGTTCGGAAGTCAATTAGGGAAAGTATTAGCACCCTACGACACATGTACCAGATAGGTTCTATACCACTTCACCAAAGACATCTCAACTCCCAATACAGACCCTAGAGAGGAGATGACTTCTCTATGATTATGACTAGCACATAAAAAGTCAATGATATGTTGAAGATCCTCAAATCAAGTACCACGATCCACTTTTGTTGGTAATTGAAGCCACATATCATGCAACTGCCCACTTTAAAACCCTTAGCCACATTAATGCTTAGTTTAGTTTGACCTATGATTTGTCGAATTGAGGGCTAATAGAAATCTACCAAAGGACATAATTTTTGCCTCTAACATCAAGTGATTTTCTTTAGGAGGTATAGCCACCAAGTAGGTAGAGAGGTCTTCAATTGTGTGAAAATAAAAAAATAGAAAAAAAGTGTCTAAAAAATGGACGTCATAGGTAAGAGTACAAAAGAAGTATAAAATGTTGAGAGACTTAATTTAGAGTAATTCCATCAAAACATCAAATACATATAGTTGAATTAATACCATTATCATTATATCATAAAATAGACAACGTTATAAAAAGTATTAACAATAAAGACTAAAATGATAAAAAAAAATGCAAGTATAAGGATTAACACGATCTATATTAAATTTTAACGATTAAAAATGATTGAAAAAGATAATTATAGAAACTAAAAATATTTATTTGAAATTATAAAGACTTAAAAAAATAAAATAAGTTAAATTTCATCACTAAAATAATATTTTAGCGTTCTTTTAAGGTTAATAAAGACTACTTTGTTTTAATAATTTTGACATAGATTCATTTAGGATTAATTATTAGAGATTAGGAAGTAGAAAATAATTTGTTTATTTTTAATTATGAATATTATTTTTTAGAAAAGTTATCTAACTTTATAAAATTATTATAAAAAAGGTTAAATTATATTTTTATCAACTTGTAATTTTAGTCCTCTTATTTTTAAAATAGAGATATTTAATCTCCTATTTTTAAAAATATGAAATTTTGATTTTACTGTTAATTTAATATTCGTTAATCATTAAAACTTTACATTACCTAGTAATCTGTCATTACTTAAGTGACATGATACTAAATATCACTAAATCCTAAGTCCTATATTAAATATCACATCACTTAAGTGTGAGTAAAATTAATACCTAACGGTTAATAAATGTCAACTTAATAGGATAATCAATATTTTTTCTTTTGAAATTAGAATGATCAAAAATGCAATTTTGTCTAAAAATAACTTTCAATTCTAATTAAATTTTATATTATTTTCTACGTACTTTGATTATTTTAAAATGTTTAAACACGTAAATGATTTATTTTTTCCAAAAAGAAAAAATCTGGGACAAATGAAATCTATATCGATACACATAAGATTTTTTAATACCGAAAAAGTTGGTAAATGTATTTAATGCTATGAGGAAATAAAAATAAAATATTAAATAAAAACTAAAATACTAAAAATAGAAAATGTTTAATGTTTTAAAATTAGAAAATACTTAATATTTGTAGACCACAAATACAAGACTTGGATAATTTTAGTAAAAATTAATAAGGTAATATAAATTTAAAAAATTAAGTTAAATTCAACACATATACTTTAATTTTTATAGTACTTTTTTATTTAATTTTTAAAAAAATTTGAGGTGCATTAGCCAATTTTAGCTTAATATAAATTGATTTTTTTTATATAAATATTTACCGAGAAGTTTATAAAGTTGATGATATATACATATGAAGAATAAATGTTCATGGTGTACAAATGTTTACATGTTTACGTTGTCATAATGTTTCGGGCTTTATAAAACTATCACCGACCCGTAATCCCACCATGACCCAAGTTTAAAAGGTCTGATATTACTATCTTCGACAGTTTAAACAAGGCAGATGATAAACACACCTCCACTCTCGTATAGACACACCTCCTTTTTAAAAAAATATATATAAAATGTCTAAATTACCCTTAAAAAAATGAAACTCCTAAATTTACACCTCCTTCTCCATACCCTCTTCCCCGCACCCTCCTTCCCCGCACCCCCACACCCCCCTTCTTCCTTCTTGCTAAAGCCTCTTTCTGCTCACACGAAGTGGAAGAATATGTTTTGCGGGCATGACGAGTGTTGGAGGACCGAAAGGATCGCCGCCATCGATCCTCGGATGTATGTCGTGTCCAGAGTCATTGCCACCTGTACTGCCTCCTCCGAACATATCAAACTCTCGCTCATCCAGGCGCACTTCGGGGAGTTGTAGAATTCGGGGGCTTCTTTGAATTGGCGGCTAATATTATTATTCTTTGCTTTGGCCTCATTGGAGGACGATGTTGAAGCTGCAAGTATGAAGAGGGACAGAATGAGAAACAATATTGCTAAAGTAACAAGAAAAGATTTCACTAAAGTGGCTCTATGGGCGCGAGATCTGAGGCTGCACCATGCCGGGAGCGGGGCCACCGACGCCGCAGACGGGGCCGGCAAGGCTGGGCTGGGCTTGGACGAGGCATCCCAGGTCGAGGAGGACCATACACCGGAACACCACCTCCAGGTGGTGGTGGCATGCCGGGGCGAGGCGGTGGCGGAGCGGGCATCCCGGGACGAGGCGGCGCCGGAGAACCCCTTATTATCTTTAAAGTTATTTAATGACATTGAACGGAAATAGGCTTTAAGAAGAAAGAAGAAGGGGGATGCGGGGAAGGAGGTGTAAATTTAGGAGTTTCATTTTTTTTTTTAGGATAATTTAGACATTATATATATATTTTTTTAAAAAGGAGGTGTGTCTATACGAGAATGGAGGTGTGTTTATCATCTGCCTTTAAATAATTCAGTATACTGTTAATGTGGGCTTGGATTATTTTTTAGAGGCCCAATCTACACAAAAAAATAACATGAAATTCATTGAAACTAATTGTGTTTTTGACGGGAAGAAATAAGTGAAAAATACCGTAAAAGAAAATAATTAAAAAGAGAGAAATATATGAATGAAAATAAGTGAGAATGGTAAAAAATATAGTTAATTGAAAATGGATTTAAATATAGGATCTCTTATATCAAAAGTCTTTTTGATGGTAGGATCATGTATGAAAAAAAAAAGTCTTAATAATGTGGAGG